ACCTGTAATTCCAGTTCCAGGGGATCTAGCGCCCTCTTCTGGCCTCCCAGGACACTGCATGCATGTACTGCCAATAATAGAAAAGTGGGCACACATACAGATGAGAATTTGTTTTGTTTTGTTTTGTTTTTTAAAGGATGAAACTTTCAAAAGCCAGGTGTGTGATGGTGGCACATGCCAGTAATCCCAGCTGCCTGGGAAGAGAATAGCAAGTTCTAAGCCACCTCAGACTGCTCAGCAAGCTTCAAACTTTCCAAAGGACTGGAAATATCGGCTGGATTGTAGGGTTCTTAGGCAGCATGTGTGAGGCCCTGATTTCAAGTTCTACCACCATTAGTTAAATAAATAAGGACAATAAATAAGTAACCATAATGACCACGTTAGTGCGGCTTCTGCTGGCAGATTGTTGAACTTGTTTTAAATGAAAAACTTTGGGGGATATCACCAGTATCGTGTCAAAGTACTCACAGAAGATTAACAGAGCCTGAGTTTATTCTGGGTTTCTGCACACATGCACACATGACCAAAAAGAGACAAAATAAACTTTGGGACTCATGTACACTGGTTGCTTTGTTGCTCCTATTTTGGGACTTCCTATAAATGGGATCACACATACATTTTTTTCCATTGCCTTCCTGGAGTTGACAGAAGGCCTCCCATTCATCCCATCCATGTTTCCTATATCAGCATCCATTCATGTTGTTTTCTGAATAGTGCCCCATTTTGTAACCCTTCTACAGTTTTGAGCTTGGTTTTTATTTCAGGGGCATGCATCTTTTCTTATTTTGGTTTAAACTGATGACAATTATTTCAATTTTTAGACCAATATAGTTGTTAAGAATACTCTTGCCGAAGTCTTTTTGAGGATGCATGTCTACATTTCTCTTGAATAAAAGGCCATAGTGTGGGTAAACATTAATTTTTAAAGCAGTTGTTCCTCTCTCTCTCTCTCTCTCTCTCTCTCTCTCTCTCTCTCACACACACACACACACACACACAATCAATCAATATAGGAGGTATACCTTAGCTGCCATTAGATGGCATTGGTATCTTGTTTTGGTTTTATTTTGTATTCCTTTGGTACCTTGAATTTGCACACTTCATGATGAATCTGTAATGTGATTCTTCAAACCACTGGTACCGTTTTAAAACTGGGTTCTTTTTCTTATTGACTTGCAGATTCTCTTTTATATACCTTTATAATAGTATACATTATATGTGTGCACACTGGGGGTGGCATGGTGCATGTGTATGTGTGGGCTCTCTTCTCTCCTTGGGAGAATGGAAATGCCTTATTACCTTACCTGTCTTTCTACCCAAAATGATGCAAAGGATTTCACAGACTTGGCGCCTAGGATTGTCCTAGCACAGAGTAGGAACTGAGTAAACACTTACTGAAAGAATCAATGAAGGAATAGAAGAACCAACTGTCTTCTAGTCCTGATAATTTAGACACAGTAATCTTAGTTTAATGACATAGCATTATGGATGGAATTAAGATGGAGTAAGAAGATGCGAATGCTCTCCCTGAATTATAAAGGGACCAATAGGCCCTCTAGTGCAACCCCATCTGGTACGCTGAGAGTGTCTACCGCCTCCGGGTTCTGACTAGATTTGTCTGATAGGGCATCAGAATATCCACTTTTGGAGACTTAGGTAGTTAACCTGGCTGATACCCTCTCTCACTGTGGGCCTTGGGCCACATTCTTCTTGGACCCCTCAGACACATTGTTATGCTTGTTTCTGCCAATCGCCACACGGAAGGGGGCTCTGCTGCACTAGCAGGCTGACTCCCCCTGGGGTGTCCTGCCATTCCTGATCCCTTCAAGAGTCTTAGAGGTTCCTGCTTCCCTCTAGTTTTTGAAGTAACTGATTCTAATCCAATGAGCATGGCCTCTCATGGGGGTCTACAGTGAATACTAGCCAGCAGCACCCATATATGGATGGCTTTTTGGCATTGACAGAACATACACACTTCCCTATCTGTGTCAACCTGCAGACAGCTCTAGCTATAGCCCTATAGACCCCTTGACTTTTTAGTGTCTAAAGGAAGCTATGGAAAAGAGATGAATTGATTTGCTCTGTTCCACAACCCATGTAGCCCAGAGTTTTCTAGGAGCTGCTAGGACTTGTTCAAAGAATGTTGATGCTTTCTTTAGTCTAGCAGGTATAAATGTACATTAGCTAATAGAGGGACAGAAAAAAAAATGACTCAGTGGGTAAAGTGCTTGGCATGCAAATTTGAGGACCAGCATTGGAATCCCCAGCAGAAACATGGAAAGCTGGGTGCCCTTTGCCAAAAATCAGGGAACATTACTGAAGAGGAGACAGAAAGAATGGAAAATCTGGAAAGTTTGGAGGAAAGATGCTGTCTTCTGGACACAGCTATTGCACTCATGAATTCATGGCAGCTCTGGTTACCTGCATAAAATGAAGACAGTCAAGATTGGGGCAGGAGGAGGGAAAGCTAATAGGGCCCAACCCTTAACTGAGGGGCTATTGGTTATTGACAGTTGCTAAAGGAAAAGAATCTGAAGGCAGAGTTTTGCATAGGAATTGCTGGCTCCCTATAAATTATAAGTGCTCAGCCAATAACAGTAGTTTAGGCTTATTACTATCTGGCTCTTACAACTTAATCCATACTTCTGTTTTTTGTTTTATTTTGTTTTTGAGACAGGGTTTTCTGATTCCTGAGCTCCAACCTCAATGGGAGATCTTATCTCAAAAAATAAGAGAGGGACTGAGAATGATGGGAAGATACCCAACACTGATCTCTGGCTTTCACCCACACACGCAACACACACACACACAGTCACATACATACACATACTCACATATACACACACTCACACTCACATACATACATACATACATATACATACACACACACTCACACTCACATACATACACATACTCACATACACACACACTCACACTCACATACATACATACACATACTCACATACACACACACTCACACTCACATACATACATACACACACATACTCACATACTCACACACTCACACTCACACTCACATACATACATACACATACTCACATACACACACACACTCACACTCACATACATACACATACTCACATACTCACACACTCACACTCACATACATACATAGACATACTCACATACTCACACACTCACACTCACACTCACATACATACATACACATACTCACATACTCACACACTCACACTCACACTCACATACATACATACACATACTCACATACACACTCACATACATACATACACATACTCACATACATACACACTCACACTCACATACATACATACACATACTCACACACTCACAGTCACATACATACATACACATACTCACATACACACACACACATACATACATACACATACTCACATACACACACACTCACACTCACATACATACATACACATACTCACATACTCACACACTCACACTCACATACATACATACACATACTCACATACACACACACTCACACTCACATACATACATACACATACTCACATACACACACACTCACATACATACATACACATACCCACATACACACACACATACACACACTGAAAGATAGAGAGAGAACGAGGCAGAGAGAGATAGACACACAAAAAGAGACAGACATGAGAGAGACAGAGAGAAAGAGACAGGGACAGAAAGATAAGAAAGAAAGAAAGAAAGAAAGAAAGAAAGAAAGAAAGAAAGGAAGAAGAAATTTTTACAATTCAGAAATTACTGCATCACAGATAAATATGGGTAGTTCCAAATCTGTTGTTTGCCTGTAGTTTCTTTCTCTCCTGAATAACAGATTATTTTGTATAAACGTCCACCCCAAATTGTGCTTACTATATCATTTAACCTTTTACTATCCGTTAGACATTTTACCTTCCAGTCAAAATTTACATGAAGGCCTCCTAGTCTGTTGCCCAGCTAGGCTGATGCTACTATAATACAAACTCAGGTATGTCTGTGTGAATTGGCCTCCATGCCCCATAACTGGTTTATTTGAATTTCTCTTGGGGACTTGAGAGGTTACACTGTTCACACGCTGACCCTAGGAAAGTAGAAGAAACAGAGTTTAGTTTTTTGGAGGCAGCGGCCACTGTGCTTAAAGACTAAACTCTTACCAGCTCACTGCCGGCTAGATAGAGACGAGCCATGGTGGCTTGCTTTCTTTTTGCGACATTTCACAGGGTGATGGAAAATTCATTATGCAGCCCAGGCTGGCCTCAAGATTCCAGGCAACCCTCCTGCCTCAGCCTCCCAAGTACAGAGATAACAGTTGTGAGCTATCACATCTGGTCTTGGCTTTGAGTAGAGTCAGGATGGGTCCCAAACAGCCCTCACTAGATTAACCTTATAGCATTTGATTGTTCTGTGTTTAAGTCCACTGGATGTGGGCAGAAGATGCATTTATAGAAGCAGACATTTCCCTTTGCCTCCTGTAAAAAGTACCCAATTTTAACTGCCCTCTGCCCCCTGTAGTAGGTTCCCAATTTTAACTGCCCTCTACCTCCTATAGATAGCACCCAATTTTAACGCATGGAATCAGAGCTATGACAAAATCATTGTCTAACTTGAGTGGCCTGAAAATAGCAGGAAGGTAGTTCTAAAGGCAGAGTTTGTCTCTAAACTAGTACAATTAATGACTGTTACTCTATTTACCAGTTCTAGCTGAGGAAGTCCAGAGACATAATTCTATTAGTTATGTAGCAGATTATATTGTATTCTATGAGTCAATGCGATATTATATAGTAATTCAAAATCAATTATTCTGTGGGAAAGATTCTCCTGGCTTATATGTAGATAAATGAGTGGGATGAAAAAAAACAGTTGAGGGGATGAGGGTGGGACTTTTTCATAGAAACTGTTATATACCTCACCTTGGCAATGTAAAGTTAAAATGAATATATATGCTCCATGTAAAGATATGCATTTTATTAATCAAGTATTATGTTCAATCTAATCTTCTTTTGTAGGACCAGCAAAAATCCACCAACGTGGTCTACCAGGCCCATCATGTGAGCAGGAACAAAAGAGGACAGGTGGTTGGCACCAAGGGAGGATTCCGAGGATGCACCGTGTGGCTAACAGGTACACACACACACAAACACACACACACAAACACACTCACATACACACACACACACATGCACATACACACATGCACACACACACACCACACACATACCACACACGCACACATGCACATACACACACACATACACCACACAAACACACCACATACACCCACACACGCACACATGCACATACACACATGCACATACACACATGCACACACATACATCACACACACATACATCACACACACACACACTACACACATGCACATACACACCACACACACACCACACACACACACCACACACATGCACACATGCACATACACACCACACACACACCACACACATGCACATACATACACATGCACATACCACACACACACACCACACACACACACACCACACACACATACACACACACGCACACATGCACATACACACCACACACACACCACACACACACCACACACATGCACATACCACACACACACACATACACACACACACACACACACACGCACATTTTTTCCAGGTACCTTTTTTTAAGAAAGAAGATAGATGTGTGACATGATTTCAAGGAACACAGTGTGACATGTCACACCTAGTAGGTGTTTTTGTGGCCTAAAGGGAGTGAAGAGCTGTATAGATGCCAGGCTGTCAGTCATCGCTCTCCTATCGAGAGCACCGGAGTCTGATGGGCTGTGGGGAGTTACCAGTTATCAGTTACCATCCTTTGGCAGCACAAGATGAGACGAGCGGATCGTGACACCTTCTTCCGACCCCAAGGAGCTGCTCACAGTCACCCCTACACGCATTTCCTGCCACGATAAAAGGGCTTTTCCTACTTCCACAGTAAATATTTGGCAGTCTGTCGGGTTACGGATGTTTAGAGCTAGTTCTTTGATGCCTTGATGTTCTGGGGGCCTATTCCATTGACAAACAGAATCTGTGTGAGAAGGACCCCTAGAAATTTACCTTTGCTAAGAGTTGTCTTCTGCCTGTAGAAACAACTCGCTGTCATTGAGATGACCCAGTAATGTCCCCTTTCTTGTCTTTTTCCATCCACATGTTCCAAAGCTAGAGGCTAGTGACAAACTTATGATTAGGCCTTAACTCCTGCCACCCCTTGTCTGAGTTCTTACCTGAGATAGACAGATGAGACAGCTGGACTTCAGAAAGGGAAACCCAGGTTCACCACATAAACAGGTTTTCTGTGAAGGAAAGCTCCCAGAAACAACAGCATGCTTATTTGGATTGTGAGACAGACACGTGTAAAGAGACACACGTGTAATTTTCTGCTCACACAGACAGGCAAAGGTCAACCCTAACAGTAGCTCAGAAGAACACGGAGCTGGAAGCCTGCCTGGCTTTTTCCTGACAGTTTCTATTTGCTACTGCTTGCTTGCACTGTTTTCGGTTAGTGAGACAGGGTCTCACGGTGAAGCCCAGGCTGACCCAGAATTCATGATTCCCCTGTGAAACACACCCAGGTTTATTTGGTTTTGTTTCCTTGCTATTCTTGAATTTTTCCTGGTGCCGGGGGGGTTTCCTGGTTTCCTCTGCAGCTGGGATTTGCACCAAAACAACCTCATCCGCCCTCTAATGTCAAGTCAGACAATGGGCATGGAGCCCCAAGTGCCAGAGTGATGGACTTGCCTATTGCTCTGCCCGCGGTGTTCCCCTAGCTTGCGCTGTGAGATGCAGTTTGTAGTAGCAGATGTATTCCCAAGGCTCCTCACTGGCTGCCCACTTACCTTCCCTGGGTGTTTACTGGGGAAGCTCACTTCCGTGTTGAGAAAGACACATGACGTTCATGTTCTCTAATGAACATGAAATTGAAAGGGGGGTGGGGAGAATTAGTAGGTAGCATGGGTGGAAATGTAAAGGATTTATTTCCTCTGACTTTTCTTCTCTGTGCTTCAGAGGTTCAAGATTGGCCTTGTAGAACAAAAGAAACCAACCATTCCGGTCCACCCACATCAGCAATGTGACTGCACATGTCATTTAACCTCTCTGAGCCCTCATCTCCTGGTCTGGAGAGGGCTGATGCATGGGCATTATAGGTGGCACTAGATGAAAGAAATCATCAATAGGCTCAACCCAGTGCTCGCCCCTTGCTAGGGCGGCAGCTCTCCAGTGTGGTACAGTACACACTCAAGGGCCTGGGCACATGGCGGCGGGGATTGAAGGGAGGCCTTTGCTCTCCGACAGCTGTGGAAATGGGAGGATATTTCATTTCATTATTGTGATACAAGAAAACATATCAGCGAGCCAAGGTTCCTGCTTTTTGTTACCTACAAGCTGACATGAATTTCAAGAGGAATTGAGATCTATCAATTCCTATCATTGAGATCTAGTCAAAAGAAACCGCAGAGATTCTGGAGAGGGCCGGAACACCATTTCTTCAATGCTCCCCTGTCAGTCAAGAGCGTGACTTTAAAAAGGGACTGCAAACCTGGAGTGGGGGGGTACTCATTTACCTCTTGTGGATTCCTTCTCCCCCTCCCCTCTTAAGTTTCCTTTCCCCTGAACTTTGTCCCAGCATCTCTGCGACATTTTCTGCACCCTCCTTTCCCCCAGGTGCCTTCTCTGTGGTTTTCTTGTCTCCTTCCCTTGTTTTTTCCCCCTCTTTCTCTCCCGGTTTTTCCATTTCCACATTGAGTTCTGTGCAGTGGCAGCCTAGTGTCCTTGAAATATTCTTCATGCTCAAAGATCTTTAGGACAAGTGAGGGATGCAAGCTTTCTGGGTTACATTAAGATCATTTGGGCCCGCACCACGGTCTCCTTGCCTAGAAAATTATGGCGTGGTCTAATCATGCTTATAGTATGGTCGCATGAGCATCTTGTCTCCATTTTCCTAAGGACATGAAGTGTCTTTAGATCTGAATGAGCATATGCCTAAGAGCTCAGAAACTCTTCAGCCCTGGTCAGCATGGACACCTCTGAGTTTTGACAGTCACTTTTGAAAACTCTTGCCGCCAATGGGCAGCCAATGGATTCTAATGCCCGGTGGCTATCCAGTGGAACCCACGTAGAGGTGGGCTTGCCAGTCTTCTGGGTACCAATCCCCTCTCCACTAAGTGCTACTGGAAGAGATAAGTCTCCAGTCACCACAGCTTTGCTTTCTCAAGAGCATCCGGCATCTCAATGTGTAAGAACACCTTTCTAACCTAAAAACGTCTTCAGGCAAAACAGCACATGGCCTATGCCCGCAGGTCTCCCTATTTACAAACCCCGGTTGCTCTGAAAAATTTTCAGAATTCAAAATAAATGCAAGTCCTAGGGTTTTTTGTACTCTTTCTGGTTTTAATGATTTTTGCTTAAAACTTGAGTATTGTTAAGAGTTTAGTTGTGAATAAGGGTGCCAAATAATCTCATGGTTTTTTCATCTTTTGAGGGACTTTGGTTTATTGAGACAAGCAGAGGCTAGCCTTGAACTCCTGATTCTCAGATCTGCACCTCACAAACACAGGGATTACAGGTTGTGCCTCCATTCCTTAGTTGATCATTTTTCATCTTAAGTATACGTTGCCTGCTCTGAACAGGTCTCTCGGGCGCTGGGAAAACAACCATCAGTTTCGCTTTGGAAGAGTACCTCGTCTCCCACGCCATCCCGTGTTACTCCCTGGATGGGGACAATGTCCGTCATGGCCTCAACAAGAACCTGGGATTCTCTCCCGGAGACCGCGAAGAGAACATCCGCCGGATTGCGGAGGTGGCCAAGCTCTTTGCTGATGCCGGCCTGATCTGCATCACCAGCTTCATTTCCCCGTTCACAAAGGTAAAGGATTTGACCCAGAGCGGGAGGCAAAGCGGCAAGCCCTCTCCTCCCTCGCTTCCTCCACTCCCTGCTACCCCGCTGTGGCGCTCAGCTGGCCGAGCTGGGGAGGTCTGGCTTTCACTTTCCCAGCCTTGCCTCCTCTCCTCACGTGACCGCATCCCTCTATTTGCTATTGGTTACGTCAAGAGAGTTGCCTCATTGCCAGAAGCCAGTGAGTGCCCCAGCTGATAGGAAGCCTTTACGGATGACAGTCACCAGAGCCGTGTGGTCAGAGTTAGAATTGAGCAAGACCTCCATGGCCTGTTATTTCAGTTGTCAGAACGAGAATGTTTACCAGCCCAAGCAGGGCAGCCGAGTTCAAAGCACCGGCTTTTGTTGACTCAGTGGGGACAACCCTGGTCAGGGTGTCCCTGCTCCGGTCTAAAGCTGGAAGTTTCTAGCAAAGCCTTCCTGTGTTAAGAGTGGCAGCCCTGCTAAGAGGGAGCTGTGTTCTATAGCTTCCGCGGGAAGTTCTTCAATGTGTTTACCAGAGCGCTAAACTCTGGGCTTTCTGAAAGGACTCTGCCGGGCACACATCTCATTTTACCTGAGATTATTAAATCCAACAGTACACTGTGTTTTCCATTGAAAATTCTCTTCCTTTGTCCTAATCCATTTTCTCTCATAATAAAATACCAGACCTGATAAATTCACGAAGACTAGAGGTTTATTTGGCTCATGACTTTGGAGGCTTTGGAACCCAAGAGCTGTCAGCACCTACTGGCATCTGATGAGCGCTTCATGCTGCATCTCATGCCAGAAAGAGCAAGGATCAGGCTAACTCAGCCCCCAAACTCCCAACCCCACTTATTTTGCTACATGTATCCCCAGGCTAGCTTCTGTTCTAATTCTTTTTTTTTTCTCAACCTTATTTTAAATCATTAGATTAAAAAAAAAATACCAATCCAAGCTCCCACTCTCTCCCCTCCTCCCTCCACACACCCTCCCACCCCACCCCCATCTAATCCTCAAAGAGGGTAAGGCCCTACTATATCTAGGCTGATCAAGGTATCTATCCAAACAGAACAGTTTCCCAAAAAGTCAGTACATGCAATAGGGATAAATCCTGGTGCCACTGCCAGTGGCCCCACAGTCTGCCGCAGCCACGCAACGGTCAACCCCCTTCAGAGGGACTAGTTTGGTCGCATGCTGGTTCCTTCCCAGTCCGGCTGGACTCCTTTCTAATGCTCTTGCCTCGGTCTCCCAAGTGCTGGGATTAAAGTTGTGCCTGTGCCACCCCATATCCCACTGCTTGCTTTTGCGGGGAAGGGGAGGGGGTCTCCTGTAGCCCAGGCTTGACCTTGAACTCACTTCGTATCCAAGTCTATTCTTGAACCTTCCGCTTCTCCCCTAACGCTGGGACCATGAGCATGCCCCTCCACTCCTGGCTTCCTTTTCACAGTTTTAATCACGTTCTGTTTTCAGGATCGCGAGAATGCCCGCAAAATCCACGAATTAGCAGGACTCCCGTTCTTTGAGATCTTTGTAGACGCGCCTCTCAACATCTGCGAGAGCCGGGATGTGAAGGGACTTTACAAGCGGGCTCGAGCTGGAGAGATTAAAGGTGCGCAGAGTAGCCAGCAGACCCTTGGACAGCTTCTTACCCTGCCAGTCTTCTTGAATGTGTCCTTGGTTATCTGGCTATAGCTACGGACCCTGTACCCCAACTGCAGAAAGCACACACACACACGGGACAGCGTGGTGCGTCCAGAGTGTCCGTAGGCTTACTAAAATGTGGGGGTTCGTCTTTGAAGAACCGTCAGCTCAGGCAGATGTCAGCTGAAGTCCAGAGAAAGAATGCACAGGCAACCCAGACTGGATTTAGGAATTGGTTTCATTGAGGAGGACCTTGCTTTCCTTCTGCATTCCCTCAGCAGCAGAAGGCTTGGTTTCTGCCATATATCATGGCAAGCTTGAGACTCTCTACACTGAAAATACAGATGTATACTTTCTTATCTATTGCAAGAGGTCAAGAATGGCAGTTTGAACCTTTCGGTCATAAATCACATTTTCCGTTTAACATATTATTACAGTGTGCATTATGTCTCATTGATTGATAACATTCTTCCACGGGCACAGATGTGATTGAGATCTTATGCCCTGCAGGGTTTACAGGCATCGATTCTGATTATGAGAAACCTGAAACTCCAGAGTGTGTGCTGAAGACCAACTTGTCTTCAGTTAGTGACTGTGTGCAGCAGGTGGTGGAGCTTCTGCAAGAGCAGGTAGGTAGGTGTGTGTGTGTGTGCGTGTGTGTGTGTGCGTGTGTGTGTGTGTATGTGTGTGTGCATGTATGTGTGTGCATGTGTGTGCGCATGTGTGTGTGCATGTGTGTATGTGTGTTGAAAGATAACCCTAGTTTCTTTATGAAATCCCTCCCCTTACCATTCACAAATTGTAACTATTGCAACTCCATTGCATCACAGAACATTGTACCCCACACCACCATCAAGGGCATCCATGAACTCTTTGTGCCAGAAAACAAGATTGATCAGGTCCGAGCTGAGGCCGAGACTCTCCCGGCATTATCAATTACCAAGGTAAAAGAGTCCCTGGCCAGAGGGACTCAGGGTTAGTATCTGACGTTATAAACTGTTATGCAACTCCTTTCTAAAACTGCCTTTATTTATGTGCTTGGTGTATGCCCCCTGGTGTGTGTGTGTGTGTGTGTGTGTGTGTGTGTGTGTGTGTCAGGCTGCATGAGTAGAGTCAGGGGACAACAAACAGGAACCAGTTTTCTCCTTCCTTCCACCATGTTTGGGGATCAAACTCAAGTTAGCAGGCTTGGTGGCAAGCCCTTTAACCCACTGAACCATGCATGCTACAGGCCCTACCATTTCTTTGGACTGTAAGAAATATCCAGCAAAGGTGAATCAATGAAGAGATCCCCATCCTCTCACCTATTCTCTGACGAAACTTCTCACAAAGGTCAGGTAGAAAAGCTGACTAGGAAAGCAACAGCCAGATTTGCATAGGACAGTGTGCATGGCTCCCCTATACCTCAATAGAGTTTTGCAGGTGGCCAAGAAGATGGGCAGAACATAGCCCTCATCCTCCAATAGGCTGCAAGTGCCTGTGGGTCCCAACTCCACAACTGATCCTAACCGGGGACGGAAGGAGGAGAAAGTGTCTCCATGAGTCCCGGGAGCCAGAACTCAAAAGGTTTCCATAGCATGATAGCAATGTCGGCCTTTACCATAGACTCAGTAACTTGCTCAATTCAATCAGTTGGCCAGCAAGTCCCTCTCACGAAAAAGCCCAACAAACCTTCATTGTATGTGTGTGTATGCATGCACACGTGCACGGAAGGTGGGGGTCATTGAATTTTAAATTATGCATTAAAAATTGAATTTTAAAATTTTAATTAAAATGAAAACTCTTTAATTTTAATCCTGTTGCACACTTACAGCTGAAAGTCTTTAATCTCAATTTGGAATCCTATGGTCACCCTTTTATAGGAACGTTCTAGACTGACCCATAGCTGGCCCTTGAATCCGAAGTCCATAGAGTTTCAGTGAGAATGCCTAAAACACGGAAGGGTCTTCCCGCACCCTCCTGCCAACTGAACAGGGAGATGTACCTGGGGCCTGAGAAAGCGAGGTGTTGGACACGCCACCTTGTTCCTTGTGTTTTTCAGCTGGATCTGCAGTGGGTGCAGATTCTGAGTGAAGGCTGGGCCACGCCCCTCAAAGGTTTTATGCGGGAGAAGGAGTACCTGCAAATTATTCACTTCGACACTCTACTGGACGGTATGTTTTCTGTTGCTTCTTACTGCTTAGTGAAGAAAAATCCCTCTCTTACAAGTCTGCACACGGACAGGCCTGTTAGCCCCTGGTTTGTAGATACTATCGCGACAATATTTAGACTGTTTGCAGAGTGTCCCTTCTTCTACTATGTCTGCTTCCATTTTTAGGATTTTTTTTCATTCTCCAAAGACTTATTATTTAAAGCCAAGTTGCCGAGAAATGAAGGCTTTACTCGTACACAAAAGCTAAGAAAAGGTTCCAACTCTGAGCCCTCCCCATTCGTTGCTGGGTCTGGTTGTCAGAGGCTCCATTCGAGGGCATCCAGGAGTAGCCCATCCCAGTTTACTGATTCACAGTGACCACCTTTCCTCCACATTGCTCCCACCGCATGGTGTCGCAGTGCCTGTCACCTTGATGGCTGCGGAGTCGTAGGTACCCGAGCCCTCACCTGGCAGACATGAAGATGGTTTCGTCCTCTGCACCTTGACAAGGCAATGTGTGTGACCTTTCAGCCACAGGCTAGTGGCTTCTGAAAAACTAGTCTTATCCCGGCCAGAAGCAAGGGTTTGCTGTCCAGAACCCCGGGCTGTTCTCTAAGAATGTCCTTCCTGGAATCCCCTGAGATCCTCAGACATGGCTTCCCTGTTTCATGGGGAAATGACGGCCAGCTAGGGAAGAGGTGTTGACAGAATCACACCAATTGTCTAAGCCTGGGCAAAGCTTCAGGCCTATGGGGAAGAAAGGGCCAAATCAGATATGCAGTCTTTGGAAAGATACTCTGGGGCTTATGCTGCTGCCTAGGGAATGGCCTAGACACAGAATTCTTAGACTCTCTCTAACACTGTCATTCCTTGGTTTCTCAAATTAACAAAGCTACAAAGCACACTTGAAGTCTAGCTTGTTATGGCAGGTGCTGTTTCATTTCATTTTTATAAAATCCCTGGAAATTACCCACTTCTCAGATGAGGAACACTGAGCTCAGGATAAATGGCTTGCTCATATTCACACTGCTTAGAAGTAAGACCCCAAGACCAGATTCTGCTGCCCCTTCTTCTTCAGTCTGCTCTCCTGGTGGCCTTCCCAATGGACTGCAGAAGGCCGGGATGCCTAACCAAGGAAATGAGACACGTATCTTGACATCTTAATTTTGGCACATGCCGCGCACAGCTGCATCAAGGACATGTGGCTGGACTCGGCAGCCAGCCATATCCAAGAAGTTGGCGAGGTGTGAGCATCCAGGCTGGAGATGTGACCGTGGGACAAGGGACCACACGGAAAGACGAGGGCTCAGTCCAAAGAGCAACTTGTACGAGAATTTCTCCATATAAAAAGATGCCTGCGTGGTAGGCAGGGCTGCTGGGGTCAATGCCAGTGGAAGTGAAGGGTCCTTAGCCTGAGATCCAGGGCTGGAAAGAGGCGGAACAAAAGTCATCTCATGTCTTGTTTAGAGAAAGGGGTGAAAGGAAATGCTCCTGCTCTGAGCTCGTGGCTTCTGCTGGAGCCTTCAGAGCATCTGTGACTGCAGAGATGAGCTCCAGATACAGACAGTCTGGGTGACTTAGAAAATCACTCTCTGCTTTTTCCTTCCCATCATTTCCATTTTATTTCATTTCTGTTTCCTTTAAGCCCCCCAGCCTGACCACTTTCCTTTACTGCTCGAGTCCCCTAGTCTGCTTTTGCAATCCCACTTCTTTCCAGAACCTAAACCCCAGTATTTGACGGAGTTCCTGGGTGTGTTTCCTGTGTCCCCACATCAGGTCCACAACTCCAGGCTACTTGCTGCGTGGATCTCTGTACTCACAGTCATTCAGACACGGAAGTTCTCAGCACCAGTGCTGGTGAATAGGGAAACGTTCACTCTCTCAGTGCTAACTTCGGATGCAGACTCCCTAGGAGGCTGCTTATGCCTTACATGAGTACTCTGGTAACCCACACGGATCGCTCTATCCCAAGGCTCCAGTGTGGCTATTGGAGTAAGGGTTTAAGACTACTGGCTTCCTCTAGCTGCTGTGGACAGAGAGGTCCTGAAGAGAGAGTGAGCTCACGGGGCAGACAGGACAGCTTCTCTGAGGCCGATGGCAGAAATGGCTTTTTACCACATCGTTTTAAGCCAAAGCACTTTGAATTTCCCAGGCTGCAGCATCTGAAGGAGGCCACTTGAGCCTTTACGCTTCCCATGTCATAGTCTCCTTGAAGTATATGCCTGGTGTGATGCACTGAGAAAACAGTTAAGCTCCAGAACGTTTCTATATATTATATATTATTTTTATATTATAAATTCACATATATGTTATTATAGTATATATTATTATGTTATATATTATATATCTGTATAGATCAGAAGATGTAGCAAGATATCTCACCCTTCATCCTATAAAGTATTTTGTTAGTTTTAATTTTCTGAAAGGTTCACATTTTACCCTGAGTCTAAAAATATAATCAGTCTGTTTAGGACGAAATCAAAACTGAACAATCCCCCCAAAGCAACCATTTGCTCATGTTTGTGGTATTTATGAGTTACTGCTTCCACATCCATGTCTTCTGTCACCTATCTCTCACTGGAAATGCAGTTTCAAGGTTGTCACAGACCCTTCTCGCATAAATGTCACTGGTGTTGACCGATAGCTGCTGAGTGGGATGAAGACAACTCCATTATTTAAAATCTTCATCGTCAACCTTCCAGGCAGGGATAAGGGTCCCCATATACATCTGATGTAGGTTACCCCATTTACCCTGCATGAAGATGTTGGGTGTTTGGGAGATGGTAAATGTTAGAAAGGGCAGAAACCTCACTTGACTTTGCATTCAAATCTGGGATCTGATGACTCCAACCCTGTGTTTATTTTCTGAGGCTCACCTTTAGGTCCTTTAGGCATCTGGGTTTCCACACTCTAGGACCTGTTTGTGCCTTCAAACCAAGGCTGGTTTGGAAACCATTTGGCAGTCTTCCCGAAATCAAAATAGCAACTAACGTGTCTTATCATTATTTCAAGTAGATAATCCTTTTGAACAATGTTTTTAGAGTGTATTGAATAATATTCCACAAAAATGGTATTGCCATGTGTTTGGTGTCATGTGCCTGTTCTTAAAAACTGCATAAGAAGGAGCTGAGAATATTTGCATGTTGCATATGTGAAGAGCGTAGCAGAAATGTGTTCCTTGATACTGCTGCTTCAAGACTCTCGTGGTGGCGACCTGAAAACATGTTTCTTATGTTTGTATTTCCCTAGGCATGACCCACCTTGGTATGTACTTCACCCTCCGAGTAGTTAAATTATTATAATTAGATATGTTACCTTAATTTTTTTAAAAAAATTATTAAGGATTTAATTTTTAAAAAATCCAAATTAACCAGTTGGGATTGTTCAGTTCATAATCCAACCAGCTATAGTAAAATGATACCACATGATTCTGTTTATTCAAGTACAAGCGACAGAAAATTTCTGGTTCCGATGGAACTATTATTCATAACGTCGAGTTTGGCTAACACAAGCAAACTCTGTTTCTAAATTATCACTGCACACTTTGTTCCTGAGTTCTTTTAAATTTACGATCGTCTAATGACTTCTGTCCCCCCTTAGTTTCAGAAATTTGAAATTAAATTTTTCTGTCATACTGACAAAACATTTTTAGTCACTGAAGAAATTCACTTCAGATTCGATTTAAGATACATATACCTGGTTGGACTGTGTACGATCATTCCTTGTTTGTTCGCAATGTATGATTATGCATGGATTTAATTGCAAGCTATCATAATTGATAGTTACAGAAGCGAAAATAAATATACCTGAGACTATAAATTTCCACATTGTACGAGAATGAAGTAAAATTCCAAACATATCACTTATGATTAATATTATTTTTATCATTTTTTTCCTTTAAAAAGCCTAATTATATAATATTGTTAATTTCATTTTTTTGGAACAAAGAAGTCCAAAAAATAAGCAGATCTACAGTACTAAAGAGAAAAGGACTGGCAAATGTTTAAAGCAAAAGTATTCAATTAGATAGGAAATTATCTGCTGGATGTTCTGTGGTTAAAAACAACAATAACCTTCCCAAATTAGATAAAGCATAATAAAATAATGCAACTCTCAGCAGAGCTGAAGCACACCAAGGGAAAGGCCACAGAGGATGCTTGGCATGGCTCAACTGTTGGAAATGCTTATGTATCAAAAAACTACAGGGGCTGGAGAGATGGCTCCGTGGTTAAGGGCACTTAATGCTCTTGCAGAGGACCCGAGGTTGGTTCACAGCACCCACATGGAAGCTAACAACTCTAACTCCAATTCCAGAGTACTTGGCACCCTCATCTGGGGCCCTTGGGCACTGCGCACATAGTACAAAGACATACATGCAGACAGAGCACCCACACATATAAAATTATTATTTGTTGTAGAGAAGGGGCTGTCGACATAACTCAGTGGTTAAGGGCATGTGCTGCTCTTACAGAGGGTGGGAGTTTGATTCCAGCACCCATGTTGAGGGACTCACAACCACGTGCAACTCCAGCTCCTGGGGATCCCAGTGCCTGTTGCTACCATGGACACTTGCATTCACCTGCCCATACCAACATAGATATACATAATTTAAAAATAAAAATAAATCTTCTAAAGCAAAGTAGAGAAAAGGGTTGGAACTGTAGTTAAGGAGTAGAACACTTGCCTCCAATGCATGAAGCATGAGTTCAAACCCTACTACTGCCAAAACAAAAAACAAACAAACAAAAAGCAGGAGTATAGACAGATAATAGGGAACCAAATTAAGCAAGCCCATCCCAGGAAGAGTTGCAGTCTCAGGCACATGAGAACAGTGGGTATTATCCCTTAGCAGGACTCCTGCCTTGTGGTCCCACAGGCGAGTCCTTTATCCTGCATCACAGCGCATGTTCATTAGAGCAGCATCTGCAGCTGGAAACAAAGTGTCCTTGGGCTATCAGTGTTGTTGGCAGGCTGCAAGCTGGGCTAGGCTTCCTGACAACTCCCTCTGATCTTTGCTTTGCAGTTTGCTTTATTTCGGTTTCTTCAAGTGTCTGTCAGCAGAACTAAGCTTTGCTCAGCTTTCAGCCTCTCATCAGTGGAGTGGTCGGTACCCAACCCACAGAGAGCACGGTTTCTCTTTAGAACTGGAGCATCCCAGAATGTGTTTCTCTTGGCGAACCTACCCTTCCTGGGAGATTCAGCTGTGGTTCATCACAGACTTCTATTCATACCGCACTTTACAGAGTGTGTTCCCCCCAGAAACCTGGGGAGGTGCACACTGCTATCTCGTCTTTCAAGAGCTCCCCACTTTGAGTCTGAGGTTTTCTGCAAGGGGGCTATGTGCCCTGGCTTCTGGTGAACTTTGAAACAGAGTTACTTTAACAACAAAATCGTCCTGCAAGCCACCTAATTCTCAGTCTTTAGAGGTGTCTACTCTACACTGCAGACTTTTATGGCAGACTGAATGCCTTTATTGCTGGCAGTTGCTGTCTGCCCCGTGGCATTCTTTACTAACTGAGAGGGCTGAAAAGGACAAAGTGGTAGGCCGGCAACTGGGCTCATAGCTGTTGGGGAGTTTTACATCCCATAGGAACACGACTCAGATCTTCACAGGTCAGAAGCAATCTAAGTGGGCTTCACAGCTCAGGACTCTGTTGACTTACATCTTCTCACACCCACAACTAAAGTCAGAGTATTCTTTGCCCCTGGAGGATCTCCCCTTTGATCTTCCCTTCATTCTCTCCTAAACTCCATCCGAACACTGTGTTCCCTAAACCACAGCCCTCAGGCTTCAACTCTGAGTCCAGCTGAGAAGGGCAGACTAGTTAGAACTTGGAGCATGCTTACAAAAGGAAACGAAAGGGGTCATAGCCTTAAATTTTTTCACATTATCTGGCATCATTAAGAAAGGAGAGACTGTTTTTATGCTTTTAAGCTTCAAACTGGAAAGCAACTACCTCTTTTTAACTGTTTTATCTAAAAATTCTTCAAAATGTTCATACTTATTTTAGGGGGGGGGGAATGGTGGGTGGATCATCAGAGATCCAGGGAGAGCCTCAGTCCAGGCTAGCCTCAAACTGACTATTATAGTACAGGATGCCACTGAAGTCATGAACATCCTATCTCTGCCTCGCAAGTTCTGGGATGGCAGGCATGGTTACTATACCTGAGTACTGTTCATATTAAAATAGCAGCAAACCCTTCGCTGGGCCTGGAGGCACAGCCTGTGGTTCCAGGGTTTGGAAGCTCTATCAGCAGTGCATAGTCATCCTCACCTGTCAGTTCTAGAGCAGCCTGGGACTCCATCTCAGAAACAAAATAACAACAAAATAAACCCCACCATGGCTAAAGCCTCTTATTCTCTCTCACACACATAGACATTGTTGGAGATATACCTCAGTGGTACCCTGCTTGCCTAGCATGTCAAAGGCTTGTGTTCAATCTTCAACTTCCCTAAAACGAATACACGCATACAAGCACAGACACACGCACACACACATATAACCCTCATCAGGAAACATGTGAGATACCTGTGGGAGTTTTGATCTCTATAGTGAGATACTTCTATGAATTTGTATTTTTAAGTTTATTTTAAAATACTTGTCTGTGTGTGTGTATGCACATGAGTACAGGGGCCCACAGAGGCCAAAGGTCTCTCTCTGATCCCCTGGAGATGGAGTTACAAGTGGTTGTGAGCTGCCTAATGCGGGTCTTCTGCAGCAGCGCATGCACTCCTAATTGCAGAGGCATTTCTGCAGCACACTGCATTTTTAAATGTATCGTGTGTGTGTGTGTGTGTGTGTGTATGTGTGTGTATGAGTGTATGCATGTGTGTGTTGTTTTTCATTGGCTCATGTGATTATGGAACCTGCAGGCTAGAGACTCAGAGCGAGAGGTGCAGTCTCAGCTCAGTCTCTCTGCTACCTGTACTGCCTCTTCTGGGAAAATGGGTCTCTTTTCCACATGCCTTTCATTGATTGGATAAGACCCAGTCACTTTATGGAGAATGGTTTTCTTTATCCACGACCTGCTGATTTTTTTTCCTTTTTTGTTTTTCCAAGACAGGGTTCCTCTGTAGCTTTGGAACCTGTCCTGGAACTAGCTCTTGTAGACCAGGTCGGCCTCAAACTCACAGAGATCCACCTGCCTCTGCCTCCCAAGTGCTGGGATTAAAGGCGTGCGCCACCACCAATGGCCAAGACCTGCTCATTTAAATGTCAGCCTCATCTAAAAGTAAAATTCACAGAAACACTGAGAATATTTGTTCAAATGTCTGGGTACCATGGACCAGCCACGTCAATACATCAAGTTAACTGCCAGTTCCCATATCTGGTGTTTACAAGTTTTCCTTTCTCTTCTTCTGTCCAAGCTGCTGACTTGTTATGAAGATGTAGCTTCTCTGAACAGCCAATCTTGTATCCTCTGTGTCACATACAGAGGAATTAGGGCAGCCAGCTTCCTCAAAATTTCTTTTAGCGTCTCAGTAAAGACGAGATGGTTTTAGTCTCTAGAGAAAGTGCACATGTTTAGTAAAGTTTAATTAGTGGCTTTGTATCATCTTTCGCTTCCACGTTCCTTTTAAAGATTTACGTATTTTATTACATACATATAATAATGTTTTGACTGCATGTATGTCTGTGTACCACATGCATGCAGTGCCTATGGATGCCACATGAGGGTGCCTGATTCTCTGGAACTGGAGTTACAGCTGGTTGCCAGCTGTTGTGTGGGTGCTGAAAACCAAATCCGTGCTCTTAACCACAGAGCATCTCTCCAGGCCCTTCGCCCATGTGTTTTGAGTGATGGTTTTAATTGTAGCTGAACCAGCAAAGCTGTGATCCCAGACAAGTGGGATGAACAATCTCTTTAAGTATTTGAAGATAGAGTTGCATCTGGACCAGCATGGCCATCGAGGGGTTGCTTGTCTGGGGTGTGAGCTCTGTGGGGCTTCTGTTTTGTTGTTGCTTTGTATTTTACTTTTCTTTTCAGTTCATTTATGCTGGCAATGCCCAACACTGACACAGGTTTATTTCCAAGAACAAGAAGAGCTTTCAGGTTGACCTATCTTTATTTGGTTTGTAAAGACTTTGGGCTGGAAAGATGGCTCAGTGGTATAAGAATATTTGCTGCTCTTCCAGAGGACCCAAGTTCAGGTCTAAGCATCCATGTTAGGAGGCTCCCAACTGTCTAAAACTCTAGCTTCAGAGGTCAGAGGATCTGAAGCCCTCTTCTGGTCTCTGGATGTACCCATATGTGCGTGCACGCGCGTGCACACACACACACTAAATAAATAACTTTAAAACAACATGAACAACAAAAGACTTTACTCCTCACGGTGCACTAGGGGTCAGGACCAAGGTTTTAAGAAGGCGAGCCATATCTCCATCCTGCTCCCAAAGCCAGGAAACTTACTGAGGCAACCTACCTCAGGGACTGGTCAAGGAGTTCCCATCACAGACTTAGGGAAAGCAGAGGAGCAGCATGTCTGTGCTGGACTTGGGGCCTGATGCGCCAGCACAGGGTTCGGAAGGAGGACTGTGCACATGTTAGCCATCCCTGACATTCACCCAGGGAAATATTCATCCTAGACCTAGCACTCACACGGCACGCGGGTCTTTCCGTAGACGGAGTCATCAACATGAGCATCCCCATTGTACTGCCTGTTTCTACGGATGACAAGGCCCGGCTGGAGGGGAGCAGCAAGTTCGCCCTCATGTATGAAGGCCGAAGGGTGGCCGTGCTACAAGACCCCGAGTTCTATGAGCACCGGAAAGAGGAGCGCTGCTCCCGTGTGTGGGGAACAGCCAATGCAAAGCACCCCCATATCAAAGTAAGTGCAAAACCTTTGGGGGGACGTTTTCAAAGGAGGGGGCGGGTGTAGGTTTGTGTGTGTGTAGGTATATAATTACACAGTTCAGAGATCAGAGGACAACCTTGGGTGTCCTTTCTCAGGGTGCATGCCTTCAACCTTCTGTTCAAGACAGGACCTTTGGCTGACCTGGAACTTTGCCAGGCAGGCTGGACTAGCTTGCCAGCGGGCTCTTGACAGCCTTCCTGTCACTACTTCTCATCTCGCCGTCACTGAGACTAGAGACACATGCTGCTGCTGCACCTGGCTTTTTATATGAGTCCTAGGAGTTAGGACTCAGGTCCTCGCACTTACGAGGCAAGCATTTTATTAGTTGAACCATCTCCCCAACTAGAAGTTCTTATTTTTCTTTCGGGTATGTGTCCGTATGTGCTATCTATGTTCATGGGTATGCACATGTGCTTGACAGTGTATATATACATGCGGAGGGCAGAGATTGACATGGAGTATTTTCTTCTGTTGCTCCCCACCTGAGTTTTGAGATAGTGTCTCTCGCTAGACCTTAAGTTAGCTACCCAGGGAACTCCAGGATTTGCCCATCTCTGCCTCCCAGGGCTAGGATTACAAGGACATGCTATTGCACCCAACTTTTTACGCAGGTGCTGGGGATCCAAACACAGGTCCTTCTTCCTGTTTATGCAGCAAGACCTTTACTGCCTGAGTCACCTCCCCAAATCCATGGTTGAGTAAGAAATATTTTTCTGCCGGGCGGTGGTGGCGCACGCCTTTAATCCCAGCACTTGGGAGGCAGAGGCAGGCGGATCTCTGTGAGTTCGAGACCAGCCTGGTCTACAGAGCTAGTTCCAGGACAGGCTCCAAAACCACAGAGAAACCCTGTCTCGAAAAACCAAAAAAAAAAAAAAAAAAAAAAAAAAGAAATATTTTTCTGAAGCCAGTACGAAGGGTCAAGCCTACAAATCCTAATACTAGGGAGGGCAAGGCAAAATCAGAGGTTAGCCTCAGTTAAATAGCTAGATTAAGGCTAGGCTTGGTTACAGAAGACTCTGCCAAAAAAATAAAAAGACATTTTTGTTTGAAAGCTGGTCTTGATCTCCTAAGTTATCATAACCTGTGGCTGAAGCATCCTTAGCTAAATAGGACTAGGCAGATAATAGTCTAGTACCTTGAGTAAAAGATCAAAATCATGAGCTAGCTAGAGCTTGCAGCCCTGCCCATGTTGAACGTACATAGGGAACACATGTAATGAACCCAAGCAACCCTTGAAAGCAACTCAGAGTTCATGTTCTCTGGCCAGTCAGGGGGAGGGTTGATGACATCTTTCTATAAACAAAGATCAGTACACCAGTGGCTAAGTTCTGAGAATAAAGACACTACGTTCTCAGCAGCAGCTGTTCATCTAACTAGGGTCATTCAGTTCTCTCCGCCCAGAAGGCAAATCAGATTCCTCAGCAGCTTCTAACAGCAGTTGGGAGTGAGGTGGGAGTGAGGAGGTATACAGGAGAGCCACAGAATACAGTCCATTTCTCACACAACTCTGTGAAACTCAATGAAAATCCATTCTTCATTGAGACACAGGCATAAGGGTGGAAGTACAGAGAGATATTACTAATCTAATTTGAACTCTTCAGTTCCCCAGCTTGGTTAGCGTTTAAGCTCACAGTAACATCATAAGCAGTCAAGCCCAAGAGACTCTCAAAAACCCTGTGATAGACCAAGTATATCATCCTTCATTTCTCTTTTGACAAAAAGATGAGGCCAAAATATGTTGAATAGCTGTCCCAGTCCTATGACCTTTCAGGAAAAAAAAAATTCCATTTTGAAATGTTACAAGATAGGAAAGACATTCTCAAGGCCCAGTTAGTAGCCTTTGAAGCCTTCTTAATCTGAACAGAAGAGCTCAGGGAGCAAGGGAAGCAGCTTTTCCACTTTTTGGACACAACCATCAGCCTTCAAGATAGCCAGCTCTTGCCTTATGCATAGGCAGGTCAAAGTCATTTGGGCAGTTTCCCCTTTCCCTCCCATCCCCCCTCCCCCCCCCCACCGAGTCTGGCAGAAGGTCTTTGAGATAGCTGCTCCATGAATATTACATTCTGGCCTTCAATTACATCTCTGATCATTTCTTTTATGATTGTAATCACACAGGCTTGGGACCTTATCTTTCTTCAGTGGCCCAAAGAATAACTGCCTACCATTATCTCTGCTCAAAGATTTCTTCTCTTTGGGTCTAACAACTTAACATCCACATGACTTTCACTAAAGGCATAAAAGTAACCTCAGATAATGCCTAGGGGAATCTGAGTGACTATTTCTCTTCATCTTGTCTTGCAATATGTCAGGGAAAGCAGTGGTGTGACCTGTGTCTTTGAGAGTATTGCCAGTGACTCTACACTATTGGCCATTAGAGGAACTGATGATGAGAAATGGGTCATAGATAACCAGAGAGAAAGCATTCATACCCCCCATATATATTACAGTGGGATTTCCTAAAGGTATATTTGGCAAAAACACAACACGTGAATTTTGTTGGGCAAAGAACTCTATTTTTAACACCCTGAACTCATGATAACATTTTAACAGCTTTTTTTTTAGAAGACAAAAGTCTTCTAACAGTTTTATTCACAAAAGTAACTATGGCCCTTGCATTTTAAAATGGGACTGAGATTGTTTGCAGAGCATGGTCAGTTGCCAAGGAAATGGCCTGCCTCTGTCCCACAACCCCTTACCTATCCGTACTCCTAAACTGTCTTATTAGTCTTCTATTGCTATGACCACAGCAACTCTTATAAAGGAAAACATTTAACTGAGTCTTGCTTACAGTTTCAAAAGTTTAGTCCATTGTCACTATGGTAGGGGACCATGGCAATACACAGGCAGGTATGGTGCTGGAAAAGTGGAGAGTTCTACATTGGATTCTTGAGAGTTCTACATTTGGATCCACAGGCAGCAAGAAGAGAGAGAAAGCGGCCTGGCTTGAACTTTTGAAAGTCCAAAGCCCACCCTTCCTCCATCAAGGCCATCCCTACTCCAACAACACCATACCTTCTACTCCCTGTCAAGTAACACTACTCCCTAATGACCAAACACTCAAATATATGAACTTATAGGGGCCATTCCTATTCAAACATCCACTTGACCCTTCTACTCAAGAAGTCTCTTTGAGTCACAAAGTATGGAACCATATGGCATAATCTCATAGTCATTTTGAGGAACAACTAGAATATGCAGAAATAACGCTTCTAAGAAATTCACCATCTTTTATCCATGGTGCTTTCTTACCAACCAGTAATTCCTCAGAATTACCTTGTAAAGTAAGTAAAAATTATTACTCTCATTTTATATATGTAGAAATCAAGAGAGCAAAGTATGTTTTCCCAATGAAAGACAGAAACAGAGTTTTTTTAGCTTTTGTATCCACATGAAGACCAGATGGACAGCAAGATCAATGAGCTCACCAGAGAAACCTTAAAGTTTACATGGATTATGCAATCATGATGGCTCACCCCTACAATTCCTGGACCAGGGAGGCTGCAGCACAAAGATCCCAAGTTTAAGGCCATTGTCAATTATGTAACAAGACCTTGCCTCAAATAACCCTGAGCAGGTCTCACAGCTTCTGGCTGGATTGGCGTTGGGCCAGGCTGATCCTTGGGAATTTGGAGCTGCCTATGATGTACACATGTATAAAGGTTAAGAACCACTCGATTACACAGTTATTGAGAGCTTTAGTCAACTATGTCCTGAAAGTGGTCCAAACTCAACATGTCAAGCTCTCCCCAAACTCATTCTCCTACTTGACAGCTTTGTATGCATGCACTAAACCCATAAACAAAACCTACATGGCATTCTTGCTTTTTCTAGTGCCCTTTCCTAGTCAATCAACAAGTTCTGGCAGCTCTTCCTTCCAAGCATTATTCAAATATATTCAGTCACTCCTGTTCCAGTCTGGTCCAGATTTCACATCCTCCCTGTGTCTTGCTTTATAAGCCTCTAATCCATTGTCTTTTCTTCAGCCACAGTGAACTGTTCAACCTTTCTTTGGGCTACTAGCCTGGGCCACTAGCCTTCATCCATTGCTCCTCCAGACATTCCAGAGCTGGTCTTCACAACATGTTTGCTCCTTCCGCTCCCACATCCCCATCTTATTTCCTGCTTTCTGAAGTCAATCCTACCTTCCCTGACTCACAGGTATGACTCAAAGGCCTTCTGTGTCCTCCCAGAACAATGCGTACCGTCCATACCTGTAACAGGCAATGCTGAGGGTGATGCTGAAATATCACCTGGGGGCCACTGATGAAAACCGGCCTATGTGCTAGGAAAGAAAGCTTGGTTTTTTTCAAGTTCCAGATTTGGGTTCTGACTTTGGCACAATAACCATGTGTACCTGGACCCTGTCCCTTCCTTTCTGTAAAATGGCCTTCTATCTGAAAGCTATGCTGTTAAACTTGCATGAGCTTCGAGTATCTTAAAGCCTTATCAGATGGATTGGAAAGCCGTGGGTAATTCTAAGTCATCATAAGTGCTGAACCTTCCTTCCTGAGAGCTGGGCATAGTTCTCAGGATAGTCAGAGCATCGCAGACACAGAGAACTTTTGGAGAGTCCAAATGATACCAAGAGTAGTTTCAGCATCACTCTTCACAGACGTGGTTCTAGTGTGGGTGGCCCAGAAGTCCTTTCAGTCATCAAAACAGTTCAGTGCAGGGTTGGCCCATAGAGTTCGGAGTGTTATGAAACTCCTAGGGATTTGTGTCAACTCTTAAAATTCTAAGAGGTGAGGACAAAGTCACGGATGGTACTCATATTTGAAAATATGAGTCTGTAGTGGTTTTCCTGAGGACAGAGTTTAGAAAGGAGGCCATGAAGACAGAGCCAAGTCCATTGCACAATTACCACCATGGTTTCTCAAGCTCAGCACCATATGTCTTTGTTGTTGTTGTTGTTGTGAAGGAGGTTCTGTGCCACACGGGATAGCCAGCTGCATCCTTTGGCTGCACTAGATTCCAGATGTAGCACACCCTTTCCCACTCCACTTGTGGCAATAAATTAACTGGAGATATTAGGTGTGACAAAAATCGCACTAGCTTAGCTTTTCATTCTCTGAATCCCTCTGGGATGCAGTCATTGTAAACCTCAGTGATTGGCTGTAATGGGGAGGCTGAGCCAAGGCAACACATGGCCACCTTCTTCTTTCTACTAGGTATTTATGAGTAAGGTCTCTCAGTCACCCTTACTACTCTATTGACATTTTAGGTATTCATTTTGTCCTTGTACAGATGAAATCGTACATAATTTGCCTTTTTGTGACTTACTTCACTTCCCCTGTCCTCAGGGTTACCTGTGTTGCGATTGTCTTTCCATGGCTGTCCTGCTTTCTCAGGACTGTCTGTGTGGAAGCACTGGGCAAGATCTCTTTCATGTGTTCCCATGCTGTACATGTCTTTTCTGTATCCATTCATCCACTGGTGGACATTTGGGTTGCCAAGAACAAATGGAGATTTGAGTGTGCAAATCTCTCCTCAAGAAGAAGGACCACTGAATCAAAAGGTTCTTCGAAGTTTTGTTTTGCTGCTTTGTTAAAATGAAACCTCATACTGTTTTCCACAGTAGTTTTATCTTTTTAGAGCCCAGGGCATAAGGGTTCTTTCCAGTTCCTCTCCATCCTCACCAATACATACTTCCTGAGTTTGTTTGTAATAATGGCCATCCTAATGGATATTCCACTTTTTCTCATTTGGATTTCACTTGCTTTACAGCTGTTGGTAGTGGGCTACTTGTGTGCTTTGGCCATCTACAAAACAAGTTTGGAGACATGCCTACTCAAGTTCTTTGTTCAGCCTTTTGTTTTTATGATATTTCTGTGTGTTCTTGAGGGGTGTATGTGTGAGTATGTGGCCATCAGAGAACAACTTGTACAAGTATCAGACTACAAGGTATCAAACTCATCATACTTGAATTCCCACCGTACATACGGAGCTGTCTCCCTAGCTCTGCCTTGTGAATTGTGAGTTACTTTATTTATCCTTGTTCTGGAGGAGCTTTCTGTTCTTTTTATGAGCCATGATCTCATTATGTAGCCCAGGCTTGTCTCAAACTCAAAATCCCTGCCTCAGCCCTGAGTGCTGGTGTTACAGGCATGTACCCTGACACCCAGGTTGTAGGAATGGTCGCTGGCAATGTCATAGGATTTGGAATAGTCATCTCATCCTGTATACACATTCATCCTGTTAATTGTCTTTTAGTTCAAAGGAAGTTTTCAGTTCAGGGTAATCCCAGCTTTCGGCTTTTGCTTTTGTAGTCTGTGTTTTTGGTGCTATAGCCAAGAAACCACTGCCAACCAACCCCAGTGTTATGAAGTCTTGTTCCCTTTTTCTTTCTTTTTTTCTTTCCTTTCTTTCTTCTTTTTTTTTTTTTGAGGGGGGACATTGAGACAGGGTTTCTCTGTAACTTTAGTACCTTTAGTACCTCTTCTGGAATTCCCTCTGTAGACCTGACTGGCTTCGAACTCACAGAGATCCGGCTATCTCTGCCTTCTGAGTGCTAGGATTAAAGGCATGCACTACCTCTGCCCAACCCCTTTCTTTACATAAGCAGTTTATAATTTTGGGTCTTCTATGTATGCCATTAATCCATTTTATCTTTTGCACATAGAATATGGGTCATTTCATCCTTTTGCATGTGGGTATCTACTTTCCTCAATATATTTGTTCAACAGGCTGTACTTTTCCTCAGAGAGTGACCTTGGCATCCTTCTCAGAGGTCTTTCGAGAAAATGGATAACTATCTATTTTACACTATATGCCTGGATTTTGTTACACTTTGCTGCTCACTGGATTTTCTTTTATCTTTAAAGCAGATGTAATGCAGGAGGCTGCATCTGTGGGTGATTCCCATGGGAACTGTGCTAAATGATAAATAATTACATGGTAGAAAACCAAACAACTTTTCCTCCAAGAGCTTTGGAGTGCTATTGAGAACAACACATTAGACAATATTAGGAATGTGCCAGCAAAGGTTCTCAAAGCATGGTTCTTTGAACCCCAGTAGTCCTCACAACCTAGCCGGAGAACTCCCGAGAGCAGAACCATGTAACAGTGATAGTCTTTTCCTGTGCTGCCACTGGCATGGCTGGTGTGAAACAAAGGTGGACAAGATGCTGGTGGCTCGATTACAGCCACCGTACTAAGAAACCACCAGCTTCAGTGAAGGATGCGTTCTATGATGCTGTGAACGTGACCTTTGGGCTAAGTGGTTTTTTCATAACATAGTCCAAATTGGGAATTATACAAGATACGTTTGCTATACATGTTAATCCTCAATGGCTGGTGTAAGGAAAAGTTCTTGTCAAGTTATTTGAGTCTGGGGATTGAAACACCATTGAAACCCTGGTATCAAGAATGTGGGTTTACAAATGCATGTCTTCAGACTTAGATATTTAGTAAGTTTTTTTGTTTGTTTGTTTGTTTGTTTTCAATGGGCAAAATTCTGTCACTTCAACAAAAACAAGGAAGAGTACTTCTTAGTTGCCAAGATTAACCTTGGGGTTTCAAACAAAAACATTTTATTCGGCACTATGAGTGTAGCAGCAAGTTCAGACTTAGACTTTCTTCTGATGCCATCAGCAATGCTCACAAGTGTGTGTGTGTGTGTGTGTGTGTGTGCACTTAAAATCCTAAAATATAATGTCAGCCTTTGAAGACTGACAAACTCAGTAGTCAACATTTCTAGTTGATCAGCATGTATGGTAAAAATAATAATAATAAATTATTCTTGGGCAAAAATATTCAAAAATAATGGAGTTTTAATAAAACAGTGTGAAAAATGCATACAGCTTTAGATTTCATACTGCAATTTACCTTTAAGAAACTAGCATTGGAAAGATGGTAAAGTGATTGGTATTTGAGCAAAAAGACCCAAATTTTATCCATCCTCAGCAACCATATACTAGAGTCAGACATGGCAAAACCTGCCTGTAATCCCAGCATGAGGGAAGTGGAGACAGGAACATCTCTGAACCTTGCTGGCTAGTCAGTCTAGCTGAATTAGCAAGCTCCCTGTTAAACGAAAAGACTGTCTCAAAAATAAGGAAGAGATGGCAAGATCACTCAGTGGATAAAGATAAGACTAACAACCTGAATTTCAATCCCTGGAATCCACTTGGTAGGAGAGAACAGGTGCCTCCAAGTTGTACACGCACGCGCACATACATATACACACACACAGAGACACACACACACACACACTCCCCAATCTGTAAAAGTTCAAGAACTAGTGATATTTATCAAGAAAGACAGCTGGTGGAGACCTCTGCAAAGATATGCGTGTACATGCCGCACACATGTTCAGGAGGCCCAAGCAGGAGGATCCAAGTGGGCACGCCTGGGTTGCAGAGTAAGACCCTCACAGAAAGGAAGGGGAAGGGAGCCAGTACATGTTTTAGTATCAAACAGTATCCACAATCATATAAAAATGCTACTCGAATCCTCTTCTTTCTTCTAGCTAAGTCCCTGCTGGGGGGTTTTCTTCACACAGCACAGCCGAAACTCACTGGCTCAGATTAAATGCAGTAGCTATGAAAGTCTGTCTATCTTCTGTTAGGCCATACGTAGCAGAGTGGCAATGGGTAAAAGTGACACTGTCCTTCCTATTCAGGTGAAGGAGTGGGGAAGAGTTTGTTCTTAACATGCAATAACTTCATTACTACTTTAAAGCTTCTCAGTATTCATTTCTAACATGGGAACTGCTGGATATAATCCATATAAACAGGAACTTTGGGGGGACAGTCCTTAATTTTTGTGTTGTGGGAATGAGCTGTTGGACTCGACCAGGGCCTGGTCCTGCTCCTGCTCTGCCTCCCCAGCAACTTTGGTGAAGACCGCAAGTAAGTTCAGAGATGAAAAGTTTGTTAAATACTACTGGAAATGCTGTAAAAAAGCAACTCAAGATGGGTCACAAAGCAAAACAGGCAGGCTGGGGAGAAGGCTCAGCCAATACAGAGCTTGCTACACACGTATGAGGACCCAAGTTTATCCCCCTCAGGACCCACGTGAAATATCCAAGTGGCCAGGGAGGGAGGTTAAAGACAGGGAGCAATTCCACTGCCAGGAAGGTAAAGGCAGGCAGCTCCTGGCGGCTCACCAACCAGTCAGACTAGCCAAATTTGCGAGCTACAGGCTCAGTGAGAAACCCTGTCTCAAAAATGTACTGAAGAGCTATTGAAGAAGTTCCCCAATTCTGACGTCTAAGCCTCCACACATACAGGCACGTGTATACATTAACACACACACACACACACACACTTCAAATGAAATTTTAAAAGGCAGTATAGTTACTATGAATTTCGATGATTTCTTCCCAGATGGTGATGGAAGGTGGGGACTGGCTCGTCGGTGGAGACCTGCAGGTGCTGGAGAGAATAAGGTGGGATGATGGGCTGGACCAGTATCGCTTGACACCTCTGGAGCTCAGACAGAAGTGGAAAGACATGAATGCTGGTATGTGATCTGGTTCTAGTGTATCTGCCAATACTCATTAGCACTGTAGTCAAAAATTTAAGTGTATCAGGAATAATTTTTTGTTTTTTAATATAGGGCCTGACATTGAATTCATTATGTAGCCAATGGTAACCCTGTATTCTTGATCTTACCTGTGCCTCTAAGTGCTGGGATTGCAGGCATGTGCCACCATGCCTGGCTGAATCAGCATAAAAATATTTATCTTTTAATGAAGTGTGTGTGTGTGTGTGTGTGTGTGTGTGCGCGCGCGCGCACGCGTGCGCCCGTGCTCGCACACCATGTACATGTGGGTATCTGGGGTCAGATTCCCACCACCCCTGTCTTATTCAGCATAAAAAAATAAAGATGCTGCCAGGCGGTGATGGTGCACGCCTTTAATCCCAGCACTTTGGAGGCAGAGACAGGCGGATCTCTGTGAGTTCAAGATCAGCCTGGTCTACAGAGCGAGTTCCAGGACAGGCTCCAAACCTATCCCCACCCCCCCCCAAAAAAAACATATCTTACTTTTAATGGTGTGTGTGTGTGTGTGTGTGTGTGTGTGTGTGTATGCCATGTATGTGTGGGTGTCGGGGGTCAGAGTCCCCCCGGGGCTGGAGTTCTGGGCAGCTCGTGTTCTGCCCGACATGGGTGCTGGAATCAAACTTGAGTCCTCTGAGAGAGTAATGCACATCCTTAATCTTGGTGTCAGCTCTCCAGTCCAGCAATTTTTTGGTTTTTGGTTTGAGACAGAGTTTCTTTGTGTAGCCTTGGCTGTCCTAGAACTAATGAATCCACACACACACACACACACACACACACACACACACTAGGCATGATTTGAAAAACAAGAAAATTGGAAAAACCAAAACAAAACTGAAACACAAAAGACTCTGGGGATGGCCGACTACCAGTGACACCACCTGCCTCGTGGGGGTGGCAGTGGAACAAGGAAGGAAGTCGTCTCATTTCTTATTCTATACATTTTGAGAGAGACATGATTTTCACTTTAGGCTTTTATAGAATTCCTAAATTTTCTGCAAAGGATATATTTTAATTACATTTTAGAACCAGAAAAAAAATAGAGTTCATGAATCCATCTCTAAGTACAATTGTTTTCAGGATTTCTTGAAGGTGGAGTTGGATTTCATCCATAGATTTGGTGCCCATGTATTATATGCTCATGTGCAGGTTCCCATGAAGCTGAGCCTGCAGCAGGCACAAGAGTGAATGCTGGAGCCTGGGATTTCAGGAAGGGTGTAGCCAGTACCTGTTTTAATTGCCGAGTCGTGTTTTCTCCTGTGTGGCTTCCTGCCTCTGCATCCTATCTTGTTCAAGCAACTGAACACTTCTGATGGATTAACACCCCTAACAGCTTAGGCACATTCTCAAACTGTCAAACGCTAGCAGCCCAAATGGGGGAACTGAGCAGTATACCTACCGCTCCATCTTTCCCCATTTATTCTTATGGACAAGAAACATAGCTTACTTTGAACCTTGGCTTTTCTTTCCTTCCTAGATGCCGTGTTTGCCTTCCAGTTGCGCAATCCTGTCCACAATGGCCACGCTCTGCTGATGCAGGACACCCGCCGCAGGCTCCTAGAGAGGGGCTACAAGCACCCAGTCCTCCTGCTGCACCCTCTGGGGGGCTGGACCAAGGATGACGATGTGCCTCTGAACTGGAGGATGAAACAACACGCAGCTGTACTGGAGGAAGGCGTCCTGGACCCAAAATCAACTATTGTTGCCATTTTCCCGTCTCCTATGTTGTATGCTGGCCCCACAGAGGTGAGCAATTCCCTGAGCTGGTAAAGGACTAAGAACACAGCCTAAAACTTTATTTACAAAATTAAATAAATTGGGGGGGGGGTCCACTCTTAATGGGCAGATTCTACAGTCTCAAGTTACTCTTTCACCCATCCCAGCTTAACGTTTTCAGTTTTGTATTTGGAAGGATGCTGGAAGTGTCAAGTCCTACATAAACACATTGCTCGGAGAATATGGGGCTTAGCACTTGATTGAGGAAGTGAGAGAGCACAGCTCACCTGGAATCATAGGGCAAGAAATATCTGCACGTTACCTTTCTGTTGCTGTGACCAAACACCATAGCCAAGGCAGCTTGGGTTTCTGTGGGCTTACAGCTCCAGAGTGATGAGTCTGTCATCGCAGGGAAGCACGGCAGCAAGCAGCAGGAACCTGAGAGCTTATATCCTTCACCACAAGCACGAGGTGAAGCAGAGAGCACGTGGGGGAAATGGGTGGAGCTTTCCAAACTCAAAGCCCATCCCTAGTTACACACTTCCTCCAGCAAGGCTGGGTTACCTAAACCTCCCCCAAACTGTGGCACCAACCTGGGACCAAGGATTCAAATGCCTGACTCTGAGGGGGACCTTTCTCATTCAAATCACCACACCAAGCTAACGATTTGTTGTTTCTAAGTACTCTGGACGATTCGCCCTGCCCCAGGAATTTCTCAGAAGGGAGAAGTATCTTTAAAAGGCAGCACCACAGTGAACTATCACAGGGAACCTGCCAGAAGATTCTTGGTCCCTCACTAACAGCTGTGCAGGGGATTTGGAGTTTGTAGGATTCTGAAGGGATCTTAATTGACCCTTCCAAATGTTCTAAACTGAGTTTAATGAATGAATTCTCCTCAGTTGTATCAGAGTTCCACACCTTTCTATAGCCCCCCCCTACAGATCTCCCCCCATCCTTTATAATTTTGTCAGAACTTTAAAGATGGCAAGTGTTATGCTAAACTGGAATCAACACATATATGAAAGGTAATTAGTTCATTACTGGCAGATGACAGTTTAGAATCTCTAACAGCCTTTAGATTTTGGTTTGTCTGAAGACTGGAGCACGTAATTCACGGTCCTTTCTAACAGTAAGTATTCCTGGCTGCTTGCTTTATTGAGAGATTAAAAGTTCATGACTTCAAAGCTCCTGTCCCACCCAATACCACCCAGCCTGAGTGCTCAGGGCTTAGGACATCATTGCTACTTTTAACTGACCTGCCTTTCTGAATCACTTTGAAAGCAAAATTAAGGAATTGCCATAAAGGGGACCATGAACTTGGATCATGTCGTGTCCCCATGTGCTATTTTCCAGGTCCAGTGGCATTGCAGATGTCGGATGATTGCAGGGGCCAATTTCTACATTGTGGGCAGGGATCCTGCAGGAATGCCCCACCCTGAGACGAAGAAAGACCTATATGAACCTACCCATGGGGGCAAGGTCTTAAGTATGGCCCCTGGCCTCACCTCTGTGGAAATCATTCCATTCCGAGTGGCTGCCTACAATAAAACTAAAAAGGCCATGGACTTTTATGATCCAGCAAGGTAGGTTTCTAGAGAAAACTGTAATTGATATGACAATTGGCATGATGAAGCAATTGAACCCTCTGGAAGTCTCCAGGCTACACGCTCCCAGTTGGAACAACATTCCCTCACAGCTCAGACCCTCTCTTGCACATGTTCTGTCCAAACATTGTAGCAGAGCGCTCTACACGTAGTTCTTGGCCTATAAGCATTTCTTTGTTCTATGGATGTAGCTTACTAATAGAAGACTTGCCCTGCCATGTGCGCAGCCCTGGGTTTGAGCTCCAGCACACCCACAAACAGTTCTTGAGCTGAGCATAGTGGCACTTGCACAAGGGAGGCGGGGGCAGGGTGTTCATACCCCATACTAAATTCACACAAACTAATCTCTGGCATGAAGATAGAAAAAAGCAGGTGTGCAGGAAATACCAAACAGACATTCTGCCTTTATTCCTCTTCTGTCCTGTGAGATTCTCAAGACTGAGGGAACTGCCCATTTTAAAACATGCCGCTGTTTACAGAGAAAACCTGGAAGCTAATTCCAGGGATCTTTAGGTCAGCTGTTTCTTACCTCCACTGACTTCTCTGTTGCTGTATTGTGACAGGCATGACGAGTTTGACTTCATCTCAGGAACTCGGATGAGGAAGCTCGCTCGGGAAGGAGAAGACCCCCCAGATGGTTTCATGGCCCCCAAAGCATGGAAAGTGTTGACAGATTATTACAGGTCTCTGGAGAAGATCAACTAAGTGTCCCTGGTTCTGGTCTCTCTGAAATGCTCTTTTACTAACGATTTTTTTCTATTTTTGTGATTAAATGCTTTGTATCCAATTGCTCCTCGACGACTAATTTTAAAATTAGTATTTTGTAATGAGGTAAAAAGTTGTGCCTATAATTTAAAACCAATTTCATTATGTATATGAAATTCACACTGGAAACTAAATCTTAGGAAAAAACAATATTATTATACGTTCCAGAATGAAAGCAGTTGTAGTCTTCTTCATCCCAGCAGGTATGTGTCAGATTTCTTAAAAGATGTGACCATGTGTCTAGCTGACTTGCCCAAACAAAAGCATACTTTCCAGCTTAATTTTGCCAAGCTGGAACTCTAATGTTACTTACCAGAGGTAATAAACCATACAAACACCCTCTTTTGTACAACTGACCAAAAAACAACAACAACAACAAAAAATCTGTCATCCTGACGTTTTTTACCTTGTGACTACACAGTCTCGCTGCCCAATGAATTGAAGATGCAACTGGAAGAAATATATGTGTGAAGATGTGAATTAAATCTTGAGAAATATGCTAGTTCCTTCTGTTGTGAAAATAACATAGCCAACAGGAAGAGAGGTTCTAATGGCTTCCTATGAACAGTAACTCCAGCATGCTGGCACTTTTCAATGGTGTGGTATGCTTTGATGAGAAGAACTCCCCCCAGGGACTAATTCTCCATCAGGGAATATTGTAGTTATCGTCAAGAGGCACCTATTTGATTGAAGCTATAACCAAAACTAACCCACAGATTAATGAGAAGCTGAAACTGTTGGCTTCTGCAGAGAAGATAAAATCCAAACCTCATCCATGTGCAGAAATGATACATACATAAGCTCTGAGAGCTGCTGAGTGCTGTAAACACAAAATGGCCATTAACAAATAGTGCTGACACTCAAGAGTGCCCAGACCACTACACTCCTAAGCTAGGTCCCTGTCTACATTAGACAACACAGGAGCTGGTTCGGACTCCTTGAAGCTACTTAACAAAGCTCTCCTTGAGAATGCTAAAGAGAGACCTTCTTGGAGACGGAAAGGTTCAGGGTATCCCAAACTCTTAATGGTACAAGTTTCCAGACTGCGCCTGTTGTGAAACATCTTCCGATGGTTTTATTTTCTAAGAGGTAATTCTTGTATTTTAAGCATGATTTATTGTTGCCAAGGAAAACGTAAGAGAAAAACATTTTACATAAAGGTTTCTCTGGAAGAGACCACAAACTGAAAAAGGAAAAGTGTGATTTTTTTTTTCATACTGCCGTTTTTTTTTTTTTTTTGTTTTTTTGTTTTTTTTTTTTGGCGGGGGGGGGATTTTCAAGACAGGGTTTCTCTGTGGCTTTGGAGCCTGTCCTGGAACTAGCTCTGTAGACCAGGCTGGTCTCGAACTGCCGTTTTTTAAAAAACGCTAATAAAAGCTCTTTTGAGAGTGGGCTACATGCCGTGACCACAGCAAGGTGAATGTTCAGCTGCTTGGTGCCTGTGCTCACTGCTGCCGCCACAACTATGGGTTCACTGAAAACATGCCATGGTAGTGCCTTAGCAAATGAATAAAGTTTGTGATTTTAAAGACACAGAAAGCTGCCTTTCTACTCTAGTACTACAGTTAGTGTAACTGTTTCAGTGTCCAACGGATGCCTGTTCTTACTTCAATAAATCTCTCAAAGACCACCCAAGTTCTCTTGTTTTGTAATGCAGGCAGGCTACAATGGCTGCTGAGGGTCATGACACTGAGAGCAATAACAATTCTTAGGGCTTTATTGAGAGGTGGTTCTAACTTGAACTTCAGGTGTAAGTGACTCATAACCTTAGCTGGGCACTCACTTTTCAGAGGGGACTGGGTTGCTTATGACCCTCTTTCCAGAATTTCACTGTAAGACAAACTAAGGTGAGGAAGTCAAAGCCCTTGTTCTCATAGGAATGTACCTTATTTTCAGAGCCTTCCCGGCTTCACCAACAGGCTTAAAAATAATCATGTATACATTTCCCTCTCAGCAGTCCAGTAACTGCACTAACCTTAGCAGCTGGTATTGTGTGCCTAAGGCAGTACATTTCCACCGGCAACCTCAGTGGCCTGTAGGCACACAGCTGTTGCTTCCTCCTGCATTCTTGATTTATTTCTAATAACGTCATGCATTTTTTTTCTGCTGATCCTCACCACAAATATTAGTAGTGTAATAGCCAACTCAAAGCTATCGTTTGGTAGCTCAGTTGGTAGACCGCTTGCCTAGCATTCATGAAGGCCTGGGTTCAATTCTCAGCACTTGAGACACAGTGTGACACATACTTGTAATCCCGGCATTTGAGGAAGAAAGATCAGGTCAATGATTCCTTGGCTATACAATGAATTTGAGATTAGTCTAGGCTTCAGGGATCCAGCTTTAAAAAAAAAAAATCAAAATAAATAAATAAATGGTACCATTTATAGGTCCTCTTTGTTTTCTCAGATCGTACTTCGTGGCTATTTTTAGTTAGCAGGGCCAAGTAGGCCAAGATGTATATGTGTACATCAACAGGTACCAAGAAGTCACAGAAGTCTTCAGGAAGTGTGAACAAATCCTAAAAAGACATTTTGATACACCTTGCGTCAATATTTATCAGGCTCTAGTATTTCTTTCCAACCCAAGAAAAAAATCTTGGTTGTAGCTGAGTTTTTTTTCTTTACTCTTTGTTCTTTGGAAGACCACCATCCAGCTCCCAAATAAATACATGGAGACATTCTTTCTTATGAATGCCTGGCCTTATTTTGGCTTGTTTTAGACAGATTTTCCTAACTTAAATTATCCCGTCTACTTTTTGCCTCTGGGCTTTTATCTTTTTCTAGTTTATATACTTTCTTAACTTCTTACTCCATGGCTGGCTGTGTGGCTGGAGGCCGGCCTTGGTGTCCTCCACTTATTTTCCTTTTCTACTCCTCCCTCTTCTCTCTTTTTCTTGGCCTGCCATCCCTGCCTCCTTCTTTCTCCTGCCTTGCTATTGACTGTTCAGCTCTTTATTAGACCAATCAGGTTTTAGGCAGGCAAAGTCACACAGCTTTATAGAGTCAAACAAGTGCAACACGGAAGAATGAGACACATCTTTGCATCACTAAAACAAATGTTCCATGGCGTAAAAGAATGCCACACATTTTTAACTAATATTCCACAACACTTGGTTCCTCAAGAACAGCAAGTCTGTAGTTTTGTTCCCTCCTTTCCCACTTTCCTATTAGGCATCTGAGTCTAGCAAGCATTTATATTCTGCGTAACTGTCCTAAGCAGGAAATCAGTAAATCAGACAAGTTGGTTGTTCTTACGCCTAAAGGTTTAAGAGCAGCTTCTGAATGACTCAAATCTCCACTGCCTATTAATAGGCCAGGTGAGAGAACTACTACAGGGATACGGAAAGAGCGCCCACCAATCTCTCCCAACCCTGGCATCCATGTAGTTCCTTGGTGAAGACTGTTACTGGGCCACAGTTACCAAAGGAAGATGACATTCAAGTAATTCACAATATGTATTCCAAAATACTAAGTTTGGCTTATACTGCAATTTTACTTAAACTATCAAAAATAAATGGATAGCCTGCTAGAATTTGAACATTTTAGCCAGATTCTAGGGGGGAAAAAACTTTTATCATGATGCTAGCAAATCAGAACGGATTTAAAAAACAAAAACCAACTCTTCATTTGGAAAACAGTAAGCTGTCCAGAGGTAAATTTGGCCTCACCTTGGCAGTATCAGGAAGTATGCAGGAAGTGGACTAGTGTGGACTGTACTGAGCTATATGTGCTTGCCCGAAAGGAAGACTCATGCAAGAATGAGCATAATTCAGGCCAGACTCAGACAACAGTGTACCTGCTAGGATGACCTAAATCAGAAACCCAGTCCCCTCCTTTGGTCTAGACAGAGTGTCAGGAGAGGGGGCTATCTATCTCATGTGTTCTACCTTGAAGAATTAAAAACAAGTAAGAACCACAGGCATCTGAAGGTGTAATCCAAACTCCTTCCAGCTCAAAACAACCATAATCAAAAGACTATGTATGGGAGGGTGGGTAGGGGCTTGGCTAAAACCAATCAACTCCTTCAGTTAAGCTTCAGCACAGGTCTATCAGTACAACCAGGACTGATGCTGACAGAGACAAGGGCTTGTACTCACTGGAAATAAAAACGTCTACTGTACTTCATTTTCCACATCTTATACCCACCAGCTAGTCTAAAAACTTTAACAATTAAGCTATTTTACCTAGGCAGAGTTGGGCGTGGTAAAACAGCACTCCAAGTCAAAGAACTCAACAGGATCCCATGCAGCAGTCCTTGCAAGCCCGCCCACAGGAATTCCCTCATTCTCTGCATGCCCACTTGCTGTACTGTAGCATCTCACAGTCGGTTGGCTATGTGCCGTTCTTGTTTGCCTGGCAATCTCCCCCTAATACTCTAGAGAACACCATTCTCCTTTTGTATGTATTAATGACTATACTGGATGCCAAGTCATTTCAATAACCCAAGGAGTTCTCAGAGCAATGGGCTATTTGAGGATTTCATGCAATCCACTGGAGGATAAAAAAGGCCTTGAGCAATCTTCCCTAAAAATAAAACTCATTGAGAGCGCAATATTTAGAAGCTTGGTTCTTCAGCTTCCCTTTGATCCCATGGGTTCTCCCACCCCTCACTTCAATTAAATTATTTTCTAGATTATCTACAGTTGGTTGCTGCCAACAGAATCCTGATTAGGTAGTCTTTATATGTCTGACTATGCCTTAGACATGCCTGTGAATAGGCATTAACGTGATACAATACCCCATTCATTCTCACTCGCTCTGATAAATTCTGAAATCGTTGCATTTTTAGAGCATGGTACACTATTTCTTGGTTACAAATTTGCATGTAAGTTATCAATTTGTTTTGGTGTTTGGTTTAAAACTGAGCCATCATGTGGAGTATACGACACTAGGGGAAACTGAGACAGGAGGTGTTAAATTTTCAGGATAACCTAGAGCTTGTCTCAAAACAAAACACCTGAGCTGTCAGGGTTTACAAACCTGTGTTCTTGGTACATCCCACACAAAGCACCAACATTCAATG